TTCATTGGTTCCCTGCTACAGTCAGCTTTTTTTTTTTTTTTTTTTTGTCAGCCAAAACTCTTGACCTACATTATTTACTTGAAGTACCCTCTGAGATTAAGTAAAGATTTCAATAATTTAATGGCACATTTCTGTAGTTTCTGTAGTTATTTACATAGCCATTGTTACACATTTCAACAGATGATATTGGTAAATATCAGAGACAAAAATTAACTTTCCATTAAGGGACAGTATTTAGTTTATTTATGTATATGGAAATATAGGGCCAAAAAAAACACATTGTTGATTATTGCCCTTGTTATTGCAGTCATAATTTTTAATGTCAATTAATAGAATACATTGAACATTTTTGCATGCCATATTCTTATATGCTATACAGACAAAAAAAGCTGAGAACCATTGGATTATTTTAGTAGATCAAAACTTGACATTGGTTCACTTGGCGGCATGATAAACAAAATGGTTATTAAAGCTGGTAATAAACTGTATACAGAAAGTGAGCAAAGAACGTGAGCATCACTGAAACTCAGTGACTTTAGTTAAATTCCTTGTAATTTTACAGGTTGTTACCCCTTTATTCCCCAAACTTCGCATATTATTCCCTTATACCTATGGAGGTACTGAATAGGTACACTATAATTACAAAAAAGTTACACTGTAACTTCAGTTTACTTACGCAGTTCTTTGCAGGTTGCATATCTGGTTGTTACCCCCTTATTACCCAAACGTAACACATTGTTCCCTTATACCTACACATATGTTCTTTATAAGTACACTATAATTACAGAAACGTACACCGTAAATTCAATATAGTTACATAGTTCTTTGCGGGTTGTAATCTAAAGCGTTACCCATGCTTTTAACACAACATCAGACAAATGCTTAAAATAATTTCCTTCTTGATCTGCTGTGGCTTCTTATTACAGAATGACGCAGAAATATATTCCATACTGTAATAACAGCTATGTCGATTAGCAATGGATTATAAATATGCTTAATTATTAAAATAAAAAAAATAAAAAAAGAAAATGGTGTTTTAATGACACAACGTTACTATTTTGTTTGCATTTAAGATACGTCTGCTGTAGTTTAATCCTCACATTTTATTGTTTTAGCTCGGCACTTGTGTGCTTTTGTTCCCCCCTCCCCCATAAGGTCCGTTTGGACTTGTGTGGTGTGTGAAGGGATTGTTTTATGTCACAAAAAAATTAAAGTGTTTTTGATGAAAGAGATGCTGTTTTGTTTGTTTGCACATTACATACCTGTAACGGGAAGTCAGACTCGATACACAGGTGAGTTAGAATCAAACAGACAGGTTTATTGTTCAGGATGGAGATGATCAAAGACTTTGAGTATTGCAGACTTAGAGTCTTAGAGTCACACACAGGAACACACGAGGGAACCACAGGAGATCAAGGAGTCATGGAACAACAGATAAGTATAATACCGCATAGGTTTGAGTCCTTTTCCACTTGGGAGACCAGACGATGTGGC